CCACCACACTACTCCCTAGGAATCTTTGACCTCTGATGCCTTGAACCGTTCTTTAGTCCTGAAATGGCCTCTAGATGTGAAGGGATTTGCTAGGCATGGAAGTCAGATTGTTAAGGGGAAAGATGTCCTAAAGGAACTCTGCGTATTTGTGGACTCCACCCCCTACTCCAGCTTTCTGGCACAATTAAATTTTAAGTGCTCCGGTGAGGACCCACAGACAGGCAGCCCAGTTCACACTGAGTGACCCTGTAACAAGATGACCCCCAGCCCGGCTGTTGTGACATTGGGACAGTGGTCTGTCTGGGAGTGAAACAACTCTGAGCAGTACCTCAGCCCACCTCCACACAGGCACCTGCCCCAGCACGCGCGCACACGCGCGCGCACACACACACACACACACACACACACACACACATACACACACAACTTGTGAAGTCTGGTCCTAGCGCTGTTGGGCAGACTGGAGGCTGAAACTTTCTCCATTACCAGTCTACTTAAGATGGAATGTAAAATGGAAATGACCATTTGATGAGATCCAGGCAACAGAAAACCTAACTCTCTTACCTGTATCTTCTCATAGACTCAAGCCCGCCCGCGCGCCTCCTGGCTACAAGGCCGTGCTGCGGCCCCGGTCCGGGTCCCGAGCGGCGGCCGGTCCTGGGCGAAGCGCCGCGCTTCCACGCACAGGCCAAGGGCAAGAACGTGCGGCTGGACGGCCACTCCCGCCGGGCCACGCGGCGCAACAGCTTCTGCAACGGCGTCACGTTCACGCAGCGGCCCATTCGGCTGTACGAGCAGGTGCGGCTGCGCCTGGTGGCCGTGCGCCCTGGCTGGAGCGGTGCGCTTCGCTTCGGCTTCACCGCCCACGACCCGTCGCTCATGAGTGCCCAGGACATCCCCAAGTACGCCTGCCCCGACCTCGTCACGCGGCCCGGCTACTGGGCCAAGGCGCTGCCCGAGAACCTGGCGCTGCGCGACACCGTGCTGGCCTACTGGGCAGACCGCCACGGCCGCGTCTTCTACAGCGTCAATGATGGCGAGCCGGTGCTCTTCCACTGCGGCGTGGCAGTGGGCGGCCCGCTCTGGGCGCTCATCGACGTCTATGGCATCACCGACGAAGTGCAGCTCCTGGGTGAGTCATGGCTCCCCCCTGAACCTGGGTACTACCCCCATGTGACCAGGTAGAGGGGCCCTGTGTGCAGGGGTGTATATTTCACAATCACAAACATTTCCAGAGGGCACATTTTGCCAGGCGATGTTCTAAGCAATTTATACTCATATATTTGCCTAACAACCTGCCTACCCCATTTTATATTACCAGAAGGGGAAACTGAGGCACAGAGAGGTTTAATGACTCGCATTGCAAAACCAGGAATGCACCCAGGTTGTGTCCACAGCCCACACTCTGCTCCAGACTCATTCACTCTGTTCCTTGCGCATTCACTCACTCATTCACTGTCCCATGCATGCATTTATTCATTTGCCCACTCATGTATCCATTAATCTGTGTATTCATTCATTCACCCACAAATCTGCTTTGTCACTCAGCAGTCAAACTTGCACCCTAGTTCTTCACTGTCTACAATGCCCAGGTGTGAGCAATGTTATTGTTACAGGGAAGCCCAGAGTGGACTGGGCCGCCTCTCTGTGGGGCCTCACCCACACAGCTCAATATTCAGTTACACTGCAGGTACACACAAAAGGGTCAATAACGGATTTGATTTATTTACAAAAGGGGAAAGGAATAGAAACAACTCAGGGAAAGAGAGCGGGATACAAAGTAACTGGAATGAATACCTTATGGCTAGGCTGACTGAACATACGAGTCACTCTGGTCAGGAGAGCTGCTTCCCTAGAGAGAGTGAAAGATGCAATCACACCCTATTTATCTCCCAAATGTCCCAGAATTCCTGCTAGCTCCGCCCTGGGGTCCTCACAGTTCTCTCCCTGGTACTGCTGGGAGTTGTAGTTTCCAATCACTGGAGTAGGGGGTAAAGTCCAGAAAGCTGAAGTACAGGGTGGAGTCCACAAAACTCTGCAGAGTTCCTTTGGGACATCCTTCCCCTTAACACTATGTATCAACCCACCTTAAAGGGATTCATGGCCCATTAAGGGCTTTTCAAGGCAGGCAGACACCAAGACACTTTTGGCCTGACTCCAAGACACATTTGGCCTGACTCCTCCGAAGTGGCAACCCTGAATGCTGAACTCCCTTAAGTGAGAACTCAAGGGAGGAGAAATTTGCTGTCCTTATCTTAAAACCTTTTTTTTTTTTTTTTTACTTTTTTGCACTGAGGTAAAATTCTTAACCACTTTAAAATGCACAAGTCATTGGTAAGTTGGTACCCATCACCTCTGTTATCACCCCAAAGGTGATGTGGGTGTCCTTTCCTCCCACCTGCCCCTGGAAACAACCATGCACCTGCTTTCTGTTTGAGACCTTAGCTCTTGAGTCGCAGGGTGCCCTTGAACCAACCTAGCCTCAATTTCTAGGGGAGCAAATGGGCAGATTTCTAAGGGCACCTGGAAAGAGGCCTCCATGTCAGCCACTTGCCATGAAGCCACAGATCTAAAGAGCATTCTGAGTCCGTCCCTCCTCAGAGGCAGCCAGTCCTCCTCGTGTTCCCATAGATCAGTTGTGCCTATTTTGAATTTCATGTAAACGGTACCAAGCTGTTTATGTGCTTTTGTGTCTAGCTATCTCAGTATGGTATTTTGAAAATGCATCTGTATTGCTGCTGTGAATATGGATAATTTATTTCTTTTTATTGCTGGGTAATATCCCCTGATCTGGATGGACCATAGTTGGTTTAGCTGAATGTTTGGGCTGTTTCTGGCTTTTCAATCCTGCATCTTGAGGAAAAACATTGACTCAGACTCCTCATCCCAGCTCCCATGCCCATCCCACAAGAGGGAAAGGTCCAGTCACCTAGCTGTACCCTTTTCCCTGCCACCAGAAGAAGGAAAGTAGAACTATTGAGTGGTGAAGAGCAGGGGGTGACCGCAGCCCCACACCTGACTCTCACTTGTCAACTGTGTGGCTTTGGCTGGGTGGCTGAACCTCTCTGGGCGTCAATCACATCTTGTGGAAAATGGGCTGGTAATATAGCACCAGCCTTATGGGAGTGTTGGCAAGGTTACACAAGAGGGTGTATGAGAGTGATGTAGCACCATGTCTGGCACATGGAAAACACAAAAAATCACAGCTAAGAAACAAGAATCTTTGGGGTTCACATGAGGACCAAAGCACCTATCTGAATTCCAGGCTTAGGCAGACTGAATTGTGAACAGCCATCCACCGGCTGAGCTGTGGCCTTTCCTGGACATCTTAACCATCTCTTCCCTCCCCCCATACTCTTTTCCAGGGAAGCCTTTGGTATTTCACCCCCAGGAGATGTCATTCTCTAAAACCTCCTCCATCTCTTGTCACTCTTTTGGAGCTGGGAACAATCACACCTTATTCACCTGCTCCTCAGACAACCCATGGCTCCAGTTACAGCCAAGAAATCACTACCACTTCCTAATCAGCGCAAGTGGATTAGGAGTCCTAAAAAAATACAAATTGGAAGCAGCCTGTGATGACTTAATGAGGCTGAATAAGCCCATGAGGAATCAGAGACTCTCCCCCACTCGCTGGTTCATGTAATGAACCCCACGGAACCCCAAACCCCTGGAGGGGTGGGAGAGACAGTGTTTGCTGGGCAGTCTGTGTAAGGTGAGAGAGGTCGTCCGTGCCTGCAAGCAGTGCCTGAGGCTGGCGCTCTGTGCCAGTGAGCAGGAAGGGCTGGCCCAGCGCCTCAGGACCTTTCAACACAGGTGAAAGGGGGAACTGCCACTAGGAGGCAGTCCCTGTCTGGGTCATGGGTCAATCTCACTCCCTTCTTTATACCTTTATGAGCGATCACTTAAAAGTATATATGTAAAGACTGTGTTGCTTCTGTAGTCATAAAGGGCAATACAGTTCATTTCCTTTCTGAAGGTAATATGAGATACGAGGGAAGTTTCTGGCAGATGATCAAGGATCAGTTATTAGCTGTATCCTTCCCTGGGTTAGGGTGAGTTGACATTAGTTACATAAAGAGATTATGTTATCGACAATTATCAACAATGATTTATAGTCAGGATAAAAAAACTACAATAGAAATAAAAACTAAGCTAGGCAGTGATGACTTTGTATAGTTTGGATGCAGGAAACAGAAGAACCACAAACCACCTCCCCCTGAAAATGGGGTCCCACCTCCCCAGTTCCTGAGAGAACTTGGCTTCCCAAGGGTGGTGTCTAAGGTACCAAATGGATAAATAAAAGGTTCCGGTGTTTGGTTCTCCAGAGTTCTCTGGCTTCCCCTTCCTCACGAGGAAAGTGACATAGTTCCTTTAGAGATCCCCAGCTATAAAACCCCAGAATAGAAAAGTCCAGAATAGGGACCCCTCCCATCCTCCTAAAGTTGGATCCACTGGGTAAAACCAGAAAACCAGTAAACAAAAGTGGCATCTTGGGTCACACTGTCAAACATAAGGCAAAATACAGCATGGCCCTTGCATGTGAATTTCAGAAAAATAGCAGTTTTTACTACGAATATATCTATACCATATTTGAGACATGCTTATAAAAATAATCTGTTTACCTAAAATTCAGATGTAACCAGCACCCGGTACTTTGTCTGGCTGCCCTTTCTGGGTAACATCTTCCCCACTGTGTGCACTGTATTTGCCTAAAACTTGAACCAAAGTTCGTTCTCAGACATAAAAAGGGGTTCATCAGCCTTGTATACATTTTTTACCCAGTGGAGTTGTGTTTGCAGCTCACTGTTCTCCTGCCAGAGGTCTGTTTTCACGTGACCAGGCCTTGGAGTCCTTCTTCTCACCCAAGACAGGGTGACATGGCCCCTTTTAAAGAATTTGGGGCCCAGAGAAGGCAAATAGCAAGCTGGAGAGTGGCAGAACCATACTTAGCACCCAGGTGCATCTGTATTTCATTCGGTGGTCCTCAGCTTGGGCCCCACATGGGGGTCACATGGCGAGCCCTGAGCATCCCACTTGCCAGCCTGCATCCCAACCAATTAAATTAGAACCTCCCCACACAGCCAGATTTCAAGGCTCCTTAGTGGCTCCAGGGCATGGCCAGAGCCATGATCACACCACCACCTTTTGCAAGAGCTCCTCCATCTTTCCCACTGGGGCGTGGTAGCATCGCAACTCCCCTTCATGTTCTCTTTGACTCTTCTTCACCCCTAACCCCACCCCCAAGCATGCTTCCCTGGCCATGTAAGCCCTTGAACATATATTTAAGAAATAGGTAAAGGCCTCCATGGTAGCCTAAGGACACGGGGCCACCCATCCACGATGGCCTGAATTCATCCGGCTGTGGCGCTGACCCGCATGGCACAGCAGACCTCTCCTGCCTCACCCGCTGCTCCCCCAGTGTTTCAGAAGACCTGCCTGCTCTGCTCCCCACTCTGTGTCTGGTGAATCTTCTTATTCCCCATCCCACCCCCAAACTCAGTTCTATGCAAAAATAAATATAATCTTTAAGAAACAAAAGGAAAGAAATAGGTAGAGTTAGTTATAGGTTTTCTATTCCTATGCAGATGGTATTGTGCTAAGAATCTATTTTCTCTGTTTTTACTCATCCCTTTTTAGGATTTATCTGGATTCTTGTTCCCTAGGGGCCTCCCACTTGGGGACATTTGGCCTGCCTGCCATCAGCCTCTCAGCCTCTCCCAAGCACAGCCAGCTGTCATGCCTCAGGGTCTTTGCACTTACTGGTCTCTCACCTGGCCTGCCTTTCCTTTAGATCTGAGTGTTGGTTGAAGAAACATGCTGTCTGGCATTCATAGGAACGCCTAAACAGGCTTTCAGACCTACACAGCAACCTGTCAGCTGGCATGTGCCTCAACTTAAAAGCTAATGTTAAAAACCACAGACCTGCCACCCTAATGTTCATGCCCAGAAAAAAAACAGGAAGGAAAAAGGGCCCTTGGGTTGCCCAACCACCCCAGCCCATTGCTCTTGCAGTCTGGCTGGGTCCGGTCCCCTGGGTGCCGAGAGCCTGAGATTTCTCTAGATGCCCCTTTGGGTCACAGAGAAGGGACTGAACCCAGGCAAATTACTTCCTGCCAAATTTAGCAATTC